AGCCTCCCTGATTTGAGAGGATCATCAAGTTTTTAAGAAGAATTTGATTTCTATATCCTATTTTGTGTTCACGAGGTGTTATACTGACTCTTTCTCTGTTTGTCGATTTTTCATGTGGAGTTTCGGTACATGTGTCCATTCGAGTGAGGTTCACACATTCTCCATGGACGCTTTCTCTGCTTCTATTCCCCAATTTCTCCATGGACGCTTCTAGGTATCCAGAGTTTGTACCTCAATCTCCATTTAATTGTTTGGTTTCTGTATTTTTTCAGTTTATAATTTCTTTTTTTTTTTTTGTTCTGTTTCAACATATTGCGTTGTGACTCATCCTTCGAACAATGATAAGCAACAAAAGCAAATTACAAGCTAGAACAGATCATTAAGATCATTGCAAGTTATCGTTGGCATTATCAATGACCTTAATGACACTTTCAATTTCTACCCCTTCACTTATAGAATGATATCGTTTCTACGCAGGTTCTTGTCGGAGTTGCAGCATGTCCACCACTTGATGGCGAGGAAGCGAATTTCTTCAACATGAGGGTAAGTCTTCCTCAGTCCTGGTTATTTACTTGACCTGTCACACACGAGCTCTTGCTTCCTCGGATGGGATTTATTGTTTCTTGCCTCAGATTCCCATATCAGGAAACTTCATTCTATGGTTCCCATGATTAGCCTAATGTTCTGATGGGAAGCTCCCCAATAATATTATAGTGAATCTCAATAGTTTATTCATGAATGGTTGAGTTTTGTTTGGCTATCCTTTCAAATCTTCCGACACTTTTTGATGGATTTGATCTATTTCAATGTAGTTGCCTCGAAGGAGAGATGCATATGCAGAAACAGAGAGTTTAGGTTGATCTACAGAATGACTAGAGAACTTATGGCCTCGACTATTTTGTGCATTTTTTACCATGTGTTTGGCTGATATATTCTAAGGATCTACTATGTTTTGTTTGTCAATTCAGAACAAAGGGGAATGTGAGAAAATGGACCCAGACTGTCAAATTGCGTAAGAGCTTTGTTAGAGAATCAGAAGGCTCGGGTGTTCAGCTGGATACAACTCCCAAACATACTATTAGAAATCAAGATGGTGTGCTAATAATCACCGAAAATCAAAGGAAGTCCGTGGAAAGCAACAGAAATTCGCGGAGAGCATATATATCCTTTTTTTATATCCACTATGTATAGGTGACTTATAAAATTTAATGTAATGAGGGTTGATAATTGGTTCTTTAGATGTTGTATGGAGTTTTGATAGCGAGTCTGCATATTAAGATAGGAATACAGTGTTTGCACCTCTTTTATTGCTATCGAAGGTGAGCAGGGTAGCATTCTTTCTAAGTAGAACACTATTGGATCAAACAAATGTGCCAATTGTGTATAATTATATTGCAATGTTGGACAATGTAGGTGTAATATTCTCTTCAGAGGAAAAATCTACACACAAAAATAGATGCTTAGTCACTCATCGAACTCCAAAACCGAATTGCATCCCGCATCGGAGCGCGGGCTCATTCCTAGGACCATTAATTGTGGACTTCTATGAACCATAACCATAGTCTATAGCATTGATGATCTCAGAATCAATCATCGATCATACGTAAACTTGCATAAATGTGTCCAACTAAACAAGCATACATGAGGCAATGGAATATCACTAGACGATAATTTCTTGACCACATAAATTATATTAAGCAAAATACTATAGTATCATATGAATAGGGTCACACACATAGAGCATTAGAACATCATATGAAATAAGGTTAATATATTTGTATGGCCTAAACTTTTCACATAATAAACATTTTGGCCAATCTTTTCGATCTATAACGTCATGGCCTGAACTATACACCAAAGTAAAGAAATTGGCCAAACCCGAAAATTGACCGTTATCTTGGACGGTCAAACGCATTTACTAATGGTCAACGCCACGTCACCGCCAAGTCAGCACCTTTTATTTTTTAAAAAATTATATTTTCCACCTATTACTATTTATTTTTTACATTTTGAATTAAAAAAATTGAAAAAAGAATTTCCTCCAGAAATTCATTTTTCAATTTTTATTTATTTAAAATGAAAAACAAAAATAGTAATAGGTGGAAAATATAAAAAAAATTATGTGAAAGGTGCCTGCTTGACCGTGACGTGGTGTGTTGACCGTTAGTCAACGCGTTTGACCGTCTAAGATAACGGTCAATTTTAGGGTTTGGCCAATTTCGATACTTTGATGTATAGTTGAGGCCAATATGTTATAGATCGAAAAAATTATGTCAGGACGTTTATTATGTGAAAAGTTCAGGCCATACAAATATATTAACCCTATGAAATAAAGCATCAATGATCATACACAAAGATGATTAAAGCATCAATGTAATAAAGCATGTAGAGGCATAGGCATCGATGATGATAACATAAAACAAGATAAACATCTTATTAACTCGCTATCATTTAACTAGAGAATTAACGAAGAATTAACATTCTACTAACACTATGTATTTCTAAAAGTTCGGAAATTCTGTGGTGTCACTATTTATGACCGGTTTAATCAAGTATATGGTTCGGGAAGATGGTTCGTTTATAATTACCGGGTGGAATTAACTAATTAAAGAATGTGATTAACTAATAAATAAAATCTTTAGCTTCGGCAATTCTCTCAGCCGCCTGCTCTGAGACCTTCGAACTCCGCCGTCTAATCACACCAGCAACCAACAATCCACCACCATTATCGATGTTTCCGTCGGTCGACCAACACCACTAAGAAACCGCAATTCTCATCAGTAGAAATTGTTTCCGGAAAGTCTCAAAAGAAATCACCATCTTCATCACCCCCGACGTCGCTGTCTGATCATCGCCTCGTCTCTGCCGCGGCAATCGGCTAATCGACCATCATCAACCAGAATCCCGTCAATCAAAATCACCACCGTCAATCCGTCATCAGCCCTATTGTCGTCGTCGGTCATCGCCAACGTCGTCTCAACCGTCGCAATCTCAGCTATGTGCAGCCTCCTGTACGTAGTCTAATACATATCTGCATATTTATTTCGGTTGAGAAACGCCTGTTGATCTTGGAGAAAATTGTCTACTTGTATTATTGATGATTTGGTAAAAAATACACTGTCTCGTTTTACATATATATATAACCTGTAGCTATAAAGTAAACAAACAACATAATAAGCAAATATTACAATACGGTTCCTATATTACTAATTCTTTACAACTGAGTCCTCCAACAGCCCCCCGCAAACTGGAGCGTGAATGTCCACACGGTTCAGCTTGGAGATGAGACCTGCAAACACTATACTTGCCAAAGACTTGGTGAAAATATCAGCAAGTTGATTCTCACTGTTAACAAACAACACTTTGATCAATCCTGACAAAATGCGATCACGAACAATATGACAATCTATCTCAATATGCTTTGTTCGTTCATGAGCTACTGAATTTTCAGCAAGGCGAATGGTAGATTGGTTGTCACAAAACAGAATAGTTGGAGAAGTAAATGAAACACCTAAGTCACGAAATATATAGTGCAACCACTGTACCTCACAGGTTAAGTCTGCCATGGCTCGTTATTCGGCCTCAGTGGAAGATCGGGAAACAGTAGGTTGTTTTTTTTATCTCCAGCTGATAACCGAATCCCCAAGAAACACACAATATCCGGTTACTAAACGACGAGAATCTGGGCAGCCTGCCCAGTCACTATCAGAAAAACCAGTAAGCTTAATAGAAGAATCACTAGGGAAAAATAGACCTTGACCTGGGTTGTTTTTAAGATATCTAAGTACTCTATAAGCCGAATTAAGATGCACATCAGTAGGTGCATGCATGAATTGAGTAAGATGATGGACTGCATACACAATATCAGGTCTAGTATGACATAGATATAGTAAACGTCCTACAAGCCTACGAAAAGTTTCAGGGTCAGAGAGAGGAGTACCATCAACAACGGCGGCATTATCTTTGCCTTTGCCTTTGTAGCCTGGTGGATACCCGTGCTTCTTGAAGCAGCGATCCACAGTGTGGCCAACACCGCCACAGTGTGTACAGACTGGTCTCTGTCGAGCTCCAGCACCACCACGGCCTTGACCTTGAGGAGGTCCAGAAGAGCGACCAGCCATGGCAAGAGGAGTGAAAGAAGAACCAGTAGACTGATTGAGCTGACGTTCGTGCTGAATCACCATGGAGAAGACACGAGTAATCGGTGGAAGAGGCTCCATAAGCAAGATCTGGCTTCGAATCTGAGAGAAGGTATCATTGAGACCTTTGAGAAAATGGATGATCTGATCGGACTGCTGATACGTGCGAATGACATTCAACGCGCCACAAGCACATCTTGGAGTACACGAGCAAGTAGGAAGCGGCCGAATCGTCACCAGCTCATCCCAGAGAATTCGAAAACGAGTAAAGAACTCGCTCACAGTCGCAGTACCTTGCTTGAATGAGAAGACCTCATCCTGGAGATCGGAGATGCGAATCAGACTCGCCTCACTAAATCGGTCTTGCAGATCTTTCCAGACGTCGACTGCTGAATCGAACCAGAGGATGCTGTGGGCGATGTCTGGAGCCAACGACCTGTAGATCCAGCCAAGAACCATCACGTTACACCTCTCCCAAGCTCCATGAAGAGGATCGCCAGGAGAAGGTGGAACGACGGCAGGATCAATCAGCGAGAGTTTATTCTTCGCCAGAAGCGCAAGACGCATCGATCTAGCCCACGCGTAATAGTTGTTGCCGTTGAAGACGACTGTGACCAGAGTCATTGTCGCCGGGATTGAGGAAGTAGGGATGACTCGGATCGAGCAAACCGGCGGGAGGAGCGAACGAGAGACTCGCCGTCGCTGATTGCGCCGATGGAATCGCCATTAGAGAGCAGATGAAAACGAAAGCAAAGAGAGGAATACGAGCGGAAGTTTCGAAGAGAGGAAACCCTAACACGAAAAGGGAAAGTAAGAGAGAGAACAAGAAATTATTTGCTCTGATACCATGTTGATCTTGGAGAAAATTGTCTACTTGTATTATTGATGATTTGGTAAAAAATACACTGTCTCGTTTTACATATATATATATAACCTGTAGCTATAAAGTAAACAAACAACATAATAAGCAAATATTACAATACGGTTCCTATATTACTAATTCTTTACAACTGAGTCCTCCAACAACGCCAGCTTTCAACTTCACATTGCACGAATGGACCTACTAAAGGAGGAAACAATAGTCATCTATGGTTTCTTATCACTGAATAGGAATGTGCATTCTACATTACCTTGGCGCTGGAAAATTTATTCCTTTCCACTGTCAACAACAAGGACCTCATTTGCTCCATAAAGGTACATCACAATTGCTTCCCCTAGCTCATCTATCCCTTTATTTGCTTGAATGAAGAGATGAATGTATGTTCAATTTTCCCATTTTACATTCCCGGGCAATCGAAGCTTCAACCATGTCCAATAAAAAAAAAACTGTTTTGCATTCTAACCATTAATGGCTGCTTGTATCTGTTCTAAGGTTCTTCCTTTTGTTTCTGGTACCACCATGATTACGAAGACTATGGCTAGCGCATTGATTCCAGCATAAACAAGAAATGTACCTGCATGACATAGACAATTTCCATCAACCAAATTGAGCTTTTAACTCCGTCTTAATGTCCATCAATCAAGAAAAGCATTATATCTTTACCATAGGAGCTCCAGGACATGAGGAAATTGAATGTGTAGGAAACTGCCCATGCACCAAACCAGTTAACTAGTGTTGCTAAACCTCCAGCTGCTCCTTTGATGTTTATTGGAAATATCTAATACATAAAAGAAAATTCCAAAAAAAAAATTGCGAAATCGGTTGAGTTAAATGATGAAAGAATCTAATAATCCCTGAGTGTGCTTTTTCTGTCAAATGAAAGGATATCAGTTACCTCAGACATGATAACCCATGGAACAGCGCCCATCCCTGCTGAAAAGGACCCAATATATAACTGCAACTCAAAAACAGGAAGAGACTTAGAATTCAAACCCTTTTGAGTTACTAAGGGGAAGGTTGTATTAGTTTTATGCCATTGTTTAGGGTTTTACCAGTATGCCAGTTACGGCCATCACGGGAACATAATCCAGAGCCAATTCATTGACCTAATTTCACACAGCAGAAAGATCTCATAAAGCACATTACATTTGCATTCTCAAGAGACAGACAAAAGGACATGAGATTATTAGCTGAGAAAGAAAAAACCTTGAGGTAGAATGAAAGGCCTGTTATCAAGCAGGCCAGCACCAAACCAGATCCAGAAGCCTGCTCATGAGAAAATCATGATGAGTTTACCAATATCCAAATTAGGGTAATGGGAAAGTGAAGATTCTGTTTTTTGTTATTTATCGGTGTCCGGTTTTTACCAGTAAAAGGGGCTTCCTTCCTGCTCTGTCAATCACTTGTGTAATTAACAGTGTCACCACAACCTGCAGAATTTCAAACAGATTCCTATTAGTGTTTGGATTATGAGTGCTTTTTAGGGATCCATATTGAGGGTTTAGCAAAACCTGAAGAATGGCATAGGTAATAGTTCCAACACTGGGAGAGAATCCTAACACAAATGACATTCACCAATAAGTTAACAGAGACAAGAAAGTTCCACTGGGGGGCGAATCCAACAAATTGCTCTTGTAAGTATATTTGTATGTCAACCTGCTGACTGGAAGATGTTACTGAGATAAAAGCACACTCCATTGATTCCTCCAAATTGTTGAGCCACCATCAACCCAACACCAATCTGGCAAAGGCAAGACAAAGTCATACACAAAAAAAGAAGCTAAGAGAAAAACAGAATGCATCCCTGTAAATGAATAGCAGAGAAATGAGAGAACACACAATGACTGATCTTAGATATCTTCTGTTGAACAAGTCCAGCATCTTTACTTTAGGAAGGCGGTCGAGCGTTTCAATGTATTCCTGGGGAGATTATAAAACATTAGCTTTTTTCGTCATTCAATATATTTCTTGAACCCTGCAATTATACAGCAAGGTTTCAAACCATAATCTCAGCTGCCTCCTCCGCAATATTAGCATCCTTGCCCCGAAGTTTCTGCAATGCAACCTCGAACTCCTTTTCGTGACCTCTCTTTGCCTGCAGGATAGATACAGAACAGCATACAATGTTAACAAAATGCAACTTAGCTGCTGCAATTCCTAACATTTTTTAGAGAATAGTAATTTAGTTTAGGGTACCAGCCATCTAGGAGATTCTGGGATGAAAAACAGTCCTATAAGCAGGATTCCACAAGGGATGAGTCCTGCAAAATGCCACAATCAGTGAGATCCAAATTCCTCTAAAGCATTTGCCATTCACCAAAATGGAGAAAGTGAGCCTTTTCTTTCTCTTTACCGGTTAAAGCAAGAGCCCTCCACGTTAGGAATGTGCCTATAATGAATGAAACCGAAACTCCACCACATATCATAACCTGATTCAAAGTAGCTAGAGCCCCTCGAAGATTCTTGGGCGCTATTTCGGATATGAAAACAGGCACCTGATCATCATCACCATCATTTCAACTTTCAACACCATTGAAATAGAGATTGGTGTAGAGCAATATTTTCCAAAAAAAAATGCAAAATAGCAAGATGTTACCACGTAGGAGAACACTCCCATCCCATAGCCATTTGCCAATCTGCCAATGTCCAGTGCCACTGCTCCCTTTGGTTATACACCAAAGAAACAACTCAGAATTTCAGATATACCAAAAGATAGAAATACATGTTTACTAACAGCGCACCTCAGCGAAGTAAATGGCAATCCAGCCTGCAGCGCAGAAAGCACTTGACAGTCTCATCACCTGCGTATGGAAAGAAAGATGCTGACATTTTGCTTCGGAAAGAACCCCCCCAAAAAGGTAAGCTAGCTGGTTCTGTGTTTTGATGGTTGAAACTTAAAAATTACCCCTTTTCGGCCTAGGAGATCAGCCAATGATCCACTTGTGATTGCACCAATCATTGCCCCAAACGTCAGAATTGAACCAAACATAGAATACTGCACATTTCTCAATAGCTCTGAATTCAGTACTATGGACTATAAGCCATAACTCCTCTTGAGAGATAACAATAGTACACCCTACCTCGGCCAGCGACAGGGAGAGATCTTCCCTGATTGCATCTTGTGTTGGCGATGAATATCCCGCCTGAAACAAGCCAACAACATCATCTTTCATATGAATAAGAGCCATCTTCTGTGTAAAAGCAAAAGCTAACTGCAACAACAAAAACCAATACGAAAACTTACACAGCTTCCGAATACATAAGACCCGCAAACAGCGACAAATGTGCTGAGATAAACCATCCACAAGCTCTCACTCCTGCCCTGCTGCAAACCATCTTCTTCCACGGATGCTGTGGCTACCGGGTAATCGTTGTTCTTCCGTATGAGTGGCTCCTTCATGTTCCAGAGGTTGAAAAGAAGACTGGAAGCTAGTTCAGCCGACCTGTGTGTGTGTTTTGCAGATCAGTCCACAGAGATGAAGTGGAGAATGAATGGACGTTTGTTTGATGATATAATAATGGAATGAAATTGATATTTCCAAGTGTACCATAGGATACATTCGTCGTTGATTTGGACTTATTTGGGTTGTTAATAAAATTTGATTTCAAGGATAAGCATTTCCTTCTCGGGGTGTTGATCAACGTGGGGTTTTCATTGTGTAGATTGTTGTTATCTTCTTCTTGTCCTTGGATTTGTGACCCCACGCTGCAGTAGCCGTAGGAGACTGCTCCTCTGGTTACGTATTCAAACAAATATTTTAGTTTCAGCAGATATAAAGTAGTGAAGAGTATTTGATTCCTACACTCAGCATTTTTGTGATAGTGCAATTGTGAACTTGTGGTGAAGAAACTAGAATAGTTGTTGAATCATGATACCATTTTTCATACAAAGAAAATACAGCAGTTTAGGTAAAACATTGATTTGAACATATCATTAAAGATCCGCTAACAAGCCCAACAGGACACGAAAGTGTTTGGTGAGATTGCTTTTTTTATATTTCTGGCTTTGTATGTCTGGCAGGCGGCGCCATGCGAACAACTTGACGCTTGTTTTTACTTGGGACTTGAGCCTCAATAATAGTGGTGGTGAACTGGTGATTGACCCTTTTCCATTTTATGAAATACCCCATTTTGTTTGTTTACTTTGGAAAGGATTGGTATGATATCGGGAGTGCGAGGTTGGATGGACAAATATAATCATAATCCCACTCATTTGTTCTCACTTGTATTTATTAATAAAACTAGCATTTTATCCAGCCAATTGGCCGGATGAGGTTTATTATCGTGCTGATAGGCGTGTAAGTAATGTTGTCAAATTGGTGTAAACTAATGAATTGATCAAGTAAGAGGGTTAAGGTTCGATGGTGATATTGATTTTCAATCCGATTTATCAGTATTAGACATATTCTAAAATAGATGTATGTGATGTAGGAATTTAAAATTTTAATAATTAAAATATAATATATTTATAAGTATATCCTTTTGTAAGTCAATTCCGTATTATACTAAACTTCAAAAACTTAGATCAGTTTATATAAATAAATAAATAAAACTTAGATCAGATTCACACTTCATAGCCACCTAACCTCTACCTTCCTTCTCTCTTTTCATTTGCTATCATCATCCCCCTCCCACTTCTTCCTCTCACTCTATATCTCTTCCTTCCTCTTCCACATATAAAAAAATCAATTAGTCTCACTAACTTAATTTCTCAAGAGATTTAATTATCAATTTTATATCATTTACTAACATCTCATTTTCTCCCTTCTCTCTCCCCCGTCGGTCATAAATTGTAGTTGCTTAAGGACCAAAGTTGTCAAACCGGTTAATACCGTTGTGCCAGTTTGAGAATGTGAGCCTGATTGATTCAATACATACCGATGCATTCTCCTTTATCACCAGAGTAGAAATTGGTGCTTCCAGCCGGAAGGAGGAATCGACGACGGTAATTTGGTCGCACCACTCTGTAAGAATTGAAGCTACTCTCTCATTGGGAAATTACGTTCACTCATTGTGATATGCCAACTATTTTGGTTGGTGTCGGTTTGAGAATTTGACAAATACATTCATTCAATCTTTTAGCGGGCCTAAATCACCAGGCTATAAAGTTGCTTGAGCGGGGCCATTTTTCTTCTACGGTTACTAACCGGCCCAAAAGTTAGCAATTAAGGGCTGGTTTGCGATAGCGGTAGATTGCCATATATACCCATCCGCAAATTAAGGAATGCAGAAATGCCATATAGACTCCTATGTATATGTGTTGATTAAGGTTTAAAGTTGAATAAGAGTGTTCATTTGCAGAACTCACCTCTCTTGGATTAGGTGTGGGCTTTGTGGATTAGGTGTGGGCTTTGGATTATGATATCCATAGATATCCGATCCAACCATTGTACAATTATTGTCCTAGTGTTTAAAAATGTATTTATACAAGCATATTTGTGAGGGAATAGTATATCTTGTGATATTATATGTATATAATATAGGTTATGTTGAAGTTGTCTTTTAATCCAATTTTAGAATCGTTAACACATTATAGATGTGTTAGCTTATTTGTGGCAAATCTATCTGTGCAATTTGAGAGACCTTTGTATTAAAATAACATATTTTCCTCAAAGTATGCTAGTACTTCGCGGAGGGGAATCAATCTACACTACACTAGTTTTATACCAAATTCTCAATCTCCACTATTTTAACCTTGATCATTGCACACTCAAGAGATATGCACATTGATCGCTTAGGTCTATAGCGATCTTCCATTGATCGCTGAAGGGAAAAATAATTTGCACGCATCGTTGAGCTGGCAAGTGAGGCAAGCTGATCAGTAGACAGCTCGACGATTGATACTTGTATGAGTCCACGCAAGTACCAAAACTATCATATTATTTTTATTTACATTATGGCCATTAGTCTGTTATAGCTATATAAGTCCTTCATATTTCATTCAACTGTAGGGATGCAAAGAAGTCTTAACATGATCGGTTGATATAAATTTTGTGTATTAAGTTACTGTAAAATAATATAAGCAATTAATATAGCAAGAACCACGGTGTAGCCCGAGTGGTCAAGCTGTTTACCGTGTGTTTGATGTGAGCCATAGCCCATAGGTCTCGGGTTTGAGTTACCCGATAGTGTTTTTTTTAGCACCCAGTTTGGTTTGGGGTGCACCCAGTTTGGTTTGGGGTGCAAATAAGAGGGGGCGTAAATTATGAGGGGTAAATACAGAATCTAGAGGTGGCAATTTCAATCCAATCCAATCCATCAATCCATTAAAAATATCCACCTAATCCAATCCATTTTATCCAAATCCAATTGGATTGGTGGATTCATGGATTGGATCCATGGATCATTGGCAAATTACGGTTTAGTACCTATAATTTTTATTTTTTACATTTTGGTACCTAAAAATTAATTTTTATACGAAAAATATCATTGAAAAATTACGTTTCGGTACCTAAAATTTTTCATTATGACATTTTAGTACCTTAACTTTTTATATTTTACATATTGGTCTTTGGTTGAGGATATCATTTGGATTCATGGATAATCCACCAATCCACTTGATCCAATCCATGAATCCACTAATCCATTAGATCCAATCCATTTGATCCATGGATCCATCAATCCAATCCACCAATCCAATCCATTTGCCACCTCTAACAGAACCCAATAAAAATGCTCATGTTTGGATATTTTTCTACATGATAGAAGGGAGTAAATAGGGGTTACCCGATAGTGTTTTTTTTAGCACCCTGTTTGGTTTGGGGTGCAAATAAGAGGGGGGCGTAAATCATGAGGGGTAAATACAGAACCTAATAAAAATGCTCATGTTTGGGTAATTTTCTACAGGATAGAAGGGAGTAAATAGGGGTACAAAACCACTATTTTGTCTTACATAACCCAATAAAAATGCTCATGTTTGGATAATTTTCTAGAGGATAGAAGTGAGTAAATAGGGGTACAAAACCACTATTTTGCCTTGCACCCCAAATTGGGACGTAAAGTGCGAATGAGGAAGGGAGAAGAAGTGGTCAGGTGGAGTCAAGAATTTTGAAGGGTAACGAGGGAGGAGAGAGGAAGTGGGGTCAAGAATTTTGAAGGGTAAGGACGTAGGGCTGCAAATGAGCCAAGTCGAGTCAAGTTTTACTCCAGTTTGAGCTCGGATCGTTAATAAACGAGTCGAGCTCGAGCTCACCTCATTTATTAACGAGTCGAGTCGAGTTCGAGCTAGCTTGTTTATTAAAATCTTAACTTTTATTTGGTACTTCATTTTGTATATCATGATACATATGATTTATTTTGTTAGTTAATCTCATCTTATACTTTATACTTTGTTGGTATCATATATCGTTTAGTTAATAAATTTTAACTACTCCAAATCATGTTATTTCATTGTATCGAAGCAATCTATGATGCATAACTTTTTTTTAAAGTAGAAAATAAGATATATTTGCTCACATACTCAACGTGCAAAACTTTATATATGGTGAGATATATAAATTAACAACCATATGAATTAAAATCATAAGATATAGATTGATTCGTCCATAAGTTGGTAATCGAGTTGGTTCTCTAGCCACATGTTAAGACATATCATGAGCTCTAAACGAGCCAGCTCACGAGTTTAGCTCAACAAGCCACCAAGTCGAGCTAGCTTGTGAGCTTCACGAACTGAACAAAGGTGAGCTCTTGTTCGGCTCGTTTATTAACGAGTCGAGTTTCGAACGAGCTTTTCTCGAGTCGAATGCCGAGCAGCTCGCGAGCAACTCGGCTCATTTGCACCCCACAAGAGAGAGGAAGTGGGGCCGACTAGGGGAAAGGAGAAGGAAGGAAGTGGGTCCAGGTAGGGGAAGTGGAGAAAAAAGTGGGTCACAAATCTCTTTTTTATTTATCTTTGTAATAATTATAATTATTATTAAATTAAAATTCATATTTTATCTCTCATTTTGCACCCTCGCTTTTTCTTTCAAACAACAATTTGCACTCCAATTTACACCTCCCTTAAATTTGCTCTCTACAATTTGTATCTCAATTTGCACCCTCCTCGAATTTGTATCCCTCGTTGTCAAACAGAGTAGGTGTTTTGCAGAGGGGGTGACAAGGAGGGTTATTATTAAGAAAACCTTATGGGTACTTAGGTCATTTTATCATAACGGGTATATAAACTCGTTTTTGAAGAACCCTAGCCGTGTTAGAAATAAAATAATTTATTTCCTTATAATTCACAAGACTAATGGTGGGCTTTTTTGTGGGGGAATGCTCATTATTGAGAAAGAATGGAAGAGGAATTTTTAATTGGGACAAAAGTTTGCAGAGGGATTTTGAGAGAGGAGAATGGGAACTTCTTCTTTATTATTTTGCTACTTGGTTCTGCTCTTTGCCGATTACAAGACAGTCTATTTATAGGCTTTAGAATACAAGAGATCTTCACTAAATCGACTTGCTTTTGTGGTTCTACTTTTTTTTTTTTTTTCAACAATCATGCAACTACCTAATTAAATTCAAACCTACCCTTCTAGGCTTTTCTGATATTTCAGCTTTATTTCAATAATTAAACTTTATTTTAATTTCAACAAGCCGCTCTCTCCTTCTCTTCTCTCGTTTTTTCATTCTTTTTCCTTGCTGCTGAGACAAACACAGAACAACAAAAGGAACGAATGCTCGTCCCTCTCTGCCTCCCGGACTCCATCTTCTTCTAGATCGAACAACGATCTAATTTTCCCTCTCAATCTCTTGATCTCCCTCTCATCTCCTCCTTCCTTTCTGATAATGACGGGGAGAAAAAGAAAGATACGAAGACCCGGAAAACGACCGTTGTCGCCGGCGATGGTGGCGATGACGACAATAAAGGTAAGGTGTCGCCGCCTATAGATTTGCATGCCGGTTTTTTTGGGTTTTGCTTGTTGGGTTCGATTCTGGGCGAGGAGATTTTGATTCGGTTTTGTTCTTGTGTGCTCTTTTTTTGGGAAGTTTCAGCCTGGATCGATAGGAGGTGAGCAGTAGGCCGTACCGGCGACGACGGCAGCAAGGCTAGCGGCGGAAGAATGAGGTAAGTTACCCCATTTTAATTTGATTCTAGTTTTTGGGGGTTTTTGGTTTGTTTAGGGTTCTGATGAAATGTTATTTAATATTTCTGGGTTTTGACGTAGGGGAAGAAGGGTCGCCGGGGAAAGGATTAGTCACCGCCGGCGGCGATCTGATGTCTCGCCGGCGGTGAAGGCAACGATTTAAACAGAGGGGAATTTTTCGGTAAGATCTTATAGATTCTCCTTAAGATTCAGATTTATTGTTTTTTTTTTTCACAGATTATGACTTGCGGTTTTGGTACAGGTTTCTCAGAGAGGAGATTAAGGAAGCTGATATCCTCTGATTTTGGCTTAGACTCTGATATACGATTCTTTTTTACATAGCTCAAGATTCTGATTTTGTTTGCTTAACATGGGTAAGATTCGGAATCTGTGTTTTTAGGATGAGGGTTGCGATTTTGTGTTCTAGCATTATGGTATTTGTATTTGGTTGGCGATTTGGAAATGGTATTCTGTGATGTTTTGGCGGCAGGTTGTGGAAGGTTGTATTTGTGTGATGGTTATAGGTTTGAAATGTGGTTAATAGGTGGCTTATATGTGGAAGTTTGTATGTCGTGGTTGTGTGTTTGTGGTTGGTTTGAACCTGAGAATTGGTTTATTGTTCATGATAGCCTCTTGGTTGAAATAGTTTTGGAACTGGTTTATAAATCTGTATTTTGAGATGAATATGGCTACTTTTGGGGAGTTTGATAATCTGGAAATTGGTTGTCAGATTATGCTTGCTAAAGTGGGTTTTTGTGTGACGGAAAGATCCGTGGAAATCAGCTTGTAGTAATAGTATATTTAGTTCTTGAAAGTTGTATGTTTGTGTATGGTTTCTGATTTTTGTCGAGAAGAAACAGGAAAAGCATCTTAAAAGACCTTGGAAATTGGAATAAAACAAAAGAAAAGCATCTTAAAATACCTTTCTAGGTTGGGTCTTTTTGTTTGTTTACTGCAATCTCTAAAATTTGTGTTTTGTCAAGTTGAGAATACATGGATGATTGAACAAACAGGGCAGCACAAGAAAAACAGTCAAAAGTTTTGATGAAAATACATGGACGATGAAACTGAGTATATAAACACTAGATCTTACTGTTGGTGTTGGCGCCTTCTTTTTGCTGCCAACTTCTGCTGATGGCCTTTTACGGTTCTTTTTTTTATTTCTCTATGTCGTTTGTATGGAAAAGAAACAGGTTTCCTCACAGATTTCTTAAGAAATCTCTTCTTTAGAAGGAAAGAAGAAAAAGAGGGGTCTGCTATCTTTCAGTGTTCTCTCTCTTTAGAAACTGTATGTGTATTGTAAGGAGGAGAGGGAAGAGGAAAAAGTAGGAAGTGGTTGGGGTTTCTCGTATCAGATGAAGGAAAGAAGAAAGATGGGTTCTGTGTTTCTCTTTGCTGTCTTTTTGTCAGGAAAAGAAAGGGAAGATGAAGAAGAAGAAGATGAGGATGAGTGGCTGTTATTCCTCTCTAGTCTCTCCCATTTTAGAGGAAGAGTAGGCGTCCTTTTATAGGGAAATAGAGGCGGTGGTGTATGGGTCTGGTCGGGCCATTCTGGTTCAACCTGTCTGGTCAGTCAGATTAGGTTTGGGTCAGATCTGCCATTTGAGTTTGTGATGTAATTAGTGTTTTGTAATAGTAGTTTAGCAATGTAATAATTTGTAATTATCATGTATTGTAATCTTGATTGTGGCTATTTAGTACTCTATTTATCTTAATAAAATTGTTATGAATTTCTTTTATATTCAAGAAATCGAGGTCCAATCCAACATCTTAAAGAATCGATTAACTCGCATGGTAACCAAAATCGAACTGAAGCCTACTTTGTCAAAACATGTCAACTCGTCAGGGATTTGCTATTGCTAATCTCATTGACTTATGGCAAACAAAATCCAACCCAGGTATTACAAATTTCGTTTTAGCTAGAGGTTATTCAAGATTTGCTATTGCAAACCTTAAAGTGGAACTAAATTTATTTTGTCAATTACGTTTTAACCCGGACAAAAGGTGATGTCTACAGCGTCCAAACAGTGACTTTGGACTTTTCTTCGATCTTTTTGCGCTTTTCAACCTCCAATCGTCCCAAAACTCGTCCTCGACCCTTTTCACGCGTGCTAGGACCTGAAATGTATAAAAACAAGCACAACCTAGCGTGAAATATGTCGATGTACGATGAAATGCAAAGCCAAACGATCAAGGTATGAGGGATAAAATGTGTACAATTGGACCTGAATCACTTATCTTAGGAAGACCCTTCCTAGCAACTGCTAAATCCCTTATAGATGTTCAAAATGGAAAATTAACTCTATGTGTGAGGGGAGAGGATGTCACATTCTCAATCAATGATAACATGAAGTGCCCTAAAGTTTATGATGATTAAGTTTACTCAGAATCCTTGAATGAATTGCATGATGTTTACAGTTTCACTTGTCACAATTCTCATGATCCTATTGAGCAGTGTCTTGTGCTATGTAATGAAGCGGCACTTGAATTGAATCTGGACAAGCATCTTAATGTTCTGGATGAAGGAATAAAAGGGTAACCTCAATTATAGGTGGAGAAGTTACACAAGATCCCCACAAATTGCACCATCCATTGAGGAACCACCGACCCTGGAGGTCAAGCCTTTATTTGAGCATCTTGAATACGCCTTCTTGAGAGAAGACTTAAAGCTTCCCGATAATCAATGCTCGTCTAAGCTCGGAACAGAATACATTATTTATTCAACTTTTGAAGAAGCATGAGAAGGCTATAGCATGGAAGATAACCGATATTCAGGGTATCAGTCCATCATTTTGCATTCACAAGATTAAGCTCGAAGACACTAGCAAACCGCTCATTCAACCTCAAAGACGCCAAAATCCCAATATAGTGGAAGCGGTCAAAGTAGAGATTATCACATTATCGGATGCATGGATCATTTACCCCATCTCAGCAGTAAATGGGTAAGCCCAAACAAGTGATTCCGAAGAAAGGAGGAATGACAAGTGATTTACCCCTGTGAATGTAAGACGTTTATAGTTGTGTAGGGGTGTATCATTTATGTTATCTATTTAATGCGTTTTGTGTGGTTTGAACGACTTAGAGAACTTGTTTGAAAGCTTATTGATGAGCTCAAAAAATTTCAAATTTTGAGAGTTCCAAACACCTTGTCTTGTACATCTACCTTCTCATTGTGCTGTTAGATGATCAAGATGATGTGTGTGTTGTAGGAGTAGTGTAAGAATTCTCGGCGTATGAGGGATTTTACTTCTATTTCCTCTTGGTTGTGTTGATATTATTTACTATCGAGGTTGAAGAAAAAATATGTGTCCAAACTAAGAAATTTCAAGCTGATCAAGTTTTTCTCCAACCTCCTAGGCTTCATGTCTCGTATGAGCCCACTAGAACCAGCTGCTGGACCTGATTGATTATTCCTTGACAAATGTCTCTTCCTGGCGCTGGAGGCAAAATCTAATGAAGATGTTTGGAGTTTTAACTTGACAGGATTTCTTCAAAACCGACCTGTCGCTTCAATATCACGTTCCTTGAGAACTATTATAGGTTGTTTGTATTAATTACCCTGTCAACACCATGCGCTGCCGCCTTTTCATAAAATTGATGGGGATTTAGGGCAAAATAAACAGAACATACAGCGCAGCATAACAGAGCACAACTGATTTAGATCAGACTGATTTAGATCAGTCTTAAATTCTTAATGCTACTGGATCTCCTCATTGAGTCATTGTATGGCCTAGTAGTCATCAGTCTGACAGTACATAACAACATTCTGTGAATTGCAATCCCCACCTTAATCCACATTTTGCTGTGGTACATACCTAAACATTACCATTAAGCAGCAAGCACCAGGGACTTTACAACCTTCCACTTATCTGTTGCTTCTGTGGACTCTGTACGGGGAAATGATAATCAAGAGAGCTCACTAATTACACGCTCGCATTTCTCTTCCAAGATCTTGACAGCTTCTGTAAATAGCACCTCTGGTGGCAATACTCCGGTTGATTCAACCGTGACTGCGGAGGAAAGACAATTGAAAGATAGTAAATAATGGATCTTCACCGAAATGGACGGCTAAATATAGTACATACCATGTGAAAAGATTTCCATATCAAATATTAGTTATAGCTTGTTTGCAAGTTCAAGAACTGATTGAATCAAAACTGTACGAATCCACAAAGCCATCGGTAACACATTTCTGGCTATAAATAGACATGCTACGATAAGTTTTGACTTTTGACTTTACTGGGATGACAGTAAAATTGGATATAGGAAAGAATATGCATTTCCGAGAAAGACTTTATGCGGCAACCAGAGAAGGACCCCATTGACCAACTTTTTTAAGGTTGCCCAACCCAGTTATAATACTTTTGATGCATAGGCAGTACTCACATATAAAATGATCTTTGACACGACGCAACTCCACACGCTCCTCCCATCCTTCACCCCTGACACATTCCCGGCACAGTCTGCAATCCCGTGGCCTAGCCACAGTTGCCCTTTTCTTGCCTGCTACCAACAAATTACTATTTGTCAGGGGTATAAGACTACAGTGAATAAGTTGGAAATGTAGTCAACGGTTGATGTATGCGAGATATATACTTTCTAAATGTGGAATCTTTCACCACACATCAAATCAAATTACTAGATGACGGGATATATACTTTCTAATTGTGCAAGATATATATGCATTTCATTGATGTATTTGACAAGATGAAGAGGGCAATTGGGGTGTACAAATGAAAGGAACTAGATCCTCCAATCTCTTTCCCATGGATGAGAAAGAGTGGTCAAAATAGCAGCAACTTTCAGACCATTGAACTATAATATTTTACATTATTCCACAAACCGAAGTATTTAAGCATGGTTAATGTATGCAATTTCTTATCTGTTTCCTTCATTAGTTCAGACACCTGAGAGGATGCAGTCCCAATTACATGATTTACATCTAGCAGGAGCAATTAGCCCGGGGCACCAACAAACAAATGCACATAGGTAAAACATTATCTCTAAAACCTCTTTCTTCTCACTGAAATTATAGTTAACGGGAAAGGGAAGGATAGCAGAGCACTCTACCATGACCAATATCTTCAATGTCAAATACTTTATCAGGACATCTCCTCACAAGTTCCTCTGCAACCTCATCTTCTACATCTTCCAGTAATACAACCTACCAAGAAGAAACATGTATCAAGAACAAACAGGGGAAATCTTGCATCATAGGAAGCATTTAAGGGGGGTTGGTTGGGGGGGGGGGGGGGGGGGGGGGGGGAGAGAAACTTCATTTACTATCAGGAGAAGGAATTTCTAACCTCGGGAAGCATACGGTACCAAGCAGTGGCTACCGGTGACCACTTTGCATGTGTTTTACCCAGGCCTTTAACAGCATGCGCTTCTAGTTCAATTTCCTGTGAAGTAACTAAAACGTTTTAGCATTTGCACCTAAACCTTGGCCTGAAAAATAATTACAACCTTCACCAAATGATATACCATGAATTTAAGAGGATTATCAATGATCTGGCATTTCGCACTCTTAAAATATAAATAATTTGTTCAAATTTCTGAACACTATGCTCCTTATGTCCTAGCAATTCTGCAGTATTAGGAATATTCTTACCTGTTTAGAGCCAAGTTTAGCAAGTATGATCTTATCCTCTGAAGGACTTATTGGGTCCTCTGAGAATTCCGGTAGCACGTCTTGACTGCAAGTAAATGAAGTATAAGTAGTGGGTTTTGAATCTGCTTGGCCTGCTTCCTTTATCAACTCACTCCCTTTCGGCAGCCACTTCAATTCCTCAGAATACACTGCAGCATAAAGGTCTCAATATGAAACCATGGATTGCAAAAAAAATTGATGTGCCTGAAGTGTTAAGATGAATCAGCAGCATACCTGTTCGGCGCTCGCCACGTTTACAGCTAGCATGGAGCTTGAAAACTATAGTGTTTTTCTCATTTGGTGTATCATTTGCTACACTCAAGATGAAAGGCAGAAGTTAGTTCAAAGGGATAAATGTCAAAAGGGTATGCTTTTCTATTGCATATGAAAATTATTACTGGAAGAAGAGAAAATGATGCGACTAAAACCTGAAAGATATTCAAACAGCCTGGGGTCTGCCTTGAGTGGAACGAGACCTAATCGATGAGCAAGCACTTCATCTTGAACCACCGATGTATTATATGCAATAAGAACTTTTTCAATTGCCATTGTAGGTACCTAAATGCATTGTTATCTACCATTCAGTAAGCCATTTATGCAAAAGATCCGGTGCAAAAGGTAAAGTGTCAATTGGTCAGCAATGTAAACAGGATGAGTCATCTGCTCATCCTAGTTCCTACAACCCGATAGTTCAAACATTACAAGCCACACATTAAACGTACCTCGGATATTAGAATCCTCCGAAAAGCATTTGCCAGTGCAGGATCAATACCAATCATATCAAATTCCATGTCTTCCTTGGTGAGTCTGATCACGTTAACTTTGAAGTTGTCACGAAAAAGATCCAGGTGAACACTATTATCAACCCCAATAGATGCATAAGCACCAGAGTAAGATATATTATCAGTCTGCAGTCAACATAATCACAGACCATGAGAAATATCAATGATGATTTCAGTACTACTGCATATTGTATTTGTTTTGCAGGGGAGTAAATCAAATCTAAAAAAGTCTGAAGCGACAACGATTTAGAGGAAAACTCTATGAGATAGTTGGAAAAGGAAAAAACGAGAAAGACCAAATAGTACAAAATGAATTACTTGAGAAACTTATGAACTAACGAGGAGCTCAAAGTAAAGGATTGAACTAAACATCCAGCACGACCTGTAGCTCTTAAGTTCATTGCATATAAAAAGCTACTCAATCTGCCCAACTCCGTACATGTAAGCACAGCTGAAACTAGCACTAGAAAAGTCTCGAGAGGCCCCAAGCAAAAGTTTGCATCTTTTACCTACCCTTGATTGAAAGCTCGGCGAAACTTGATAAAACATCTCTGAGACAACAGTAACCCAACCCACACGATAGAAACGCAAGCGGTGAATGGAATGAGGTTAGAGGGAGCGAGTTCTTACGTGAATGGGCGCATCTGCTTTGCAAACAACGCGAGTCTTTTGAAGCTGGAGGTGAGGCGGGAGTTGGCCCATTGGGACGTCGGGCAAATCCCATATCGAAAACTTTTTGTTCGGCTCGTCGTTATTACCTCCCTTATTCTCCTTCTCGTTCATGGTGCGCTCAGTTGGATTGATTTGATGGATGATTCGTACCCTCCGTCTCGATTCCTTCACTGGTTCCTTGCTTCAGGAGTTCAGAGTTCTGGGGGGAGGGGGAGGGAGAATGGAGGAGGGGAACTTATACGATTGCAATTGCAGGGTAGGGTTTAGGGTTTTATCATTTATGCCAATGTTGTAAGCTCGCTCGAATCGCCCAGGCGATTGGGTCTGTGGGTTATTGACCGGACCGGGTTCGAGTCAAATAAATTGGCCACGAGAGAGGGAGGCGGGGAACCTCATTAGAATTTAGATGGTTTAAATGATTATCATAGTTATTAAATGATTTAATTAAAATTCTATTAACTATCAAATACAATCCTAACCAAATCGAGTAAATTAATACAGCAACCAAATTAATCAAATTCAAATTTTATCGGTTTGTTTAATTGGTATTAACTAATATACCATAACATTATCAGTACGTGAGAAAAATCTTTTGTTGATACATCAATCTATAATTTATATAATGAATAAAATATAACAATCAGCACATAGTTACCACTTAACATAAATATATGCAACAAATACAATTATCTTATGGTCATTAGAAGTAGCCACCTAAAAAGATACTTGGGAATGATATGGGGTTAATGAATTCAGTGTGTCTATGTGAATTGTCTTAGTCTCTTAACAATGATCGAGTCTGAAAAAGCTCTTCTCTTCTAGGTTTATTCTCCAACATAATGCATGTGTTTTATCTAAATTATGCGTTCATATATTGTCTACACTCTATAAGAACAAATATAGTATATGAACAATAGTGAGTTTTATTGTTTTTTATAGGTACAAAAGGGAGAAATGCTTGAGTTTTTAGTGGTTATGCAAAGTATGAGTATATAATATTAAGTATATGACTAATTGTTTAATTGGTAAATTATTTTGATTGGTTAGGAGTGTCAGAAACCAAACCACATAAATCAAACAAGCTAAATTTTTTGATAAAACCAAACCAGTTATACAAATTAATCAAATTATTCAAATACAGCAGATTAATATGGTTACCACGGTAACCACTACGTTTGAACACCCCTTCATAATTGGGTATAGCAGTTAATTATAAATTAGAATAGATGTTTTGTTTGACAAATAGGTGGTGCAAATTCAAGTGTTGTAAGTATCATAGTTAGCAAATACTCAGTTTAACACATGTATATGTACCCGTACGTACTTTATCCATTTAAAACTCCCCTATCCGTGTTATTGTCAAGTCGTTTTATTTGTTTTCGTTCATTTGACGGCTCCCATACTAAACATGTATAAAATTTGTATAATATGTTTAATATTCGTATTTAATGAATTAAATTATTAACTTTACTATTTATATTTATTTATTTTTAAAAATAATTAATTTTATATATTTATGACTATTAATGTACTATTAAACGTGACATTAGTTTAGAGACAAAGTAAAATACCCGTACATATTTTATACGTAACTTTCTCGTACCATATTTTACTAACTATGGTAAGTATGAGTGAAAATTCAAAATTATATGGTATGTAAATGTATGGGGTGAAGGAGGACATTAGGTGGTTTGGGTGAGTTTTAGCATCAAATTGACATATCTGCTTACTGACGAGTTGGTAGAATTGTTATCTGATGTTACCACTCACCCACAGTCTTCTTATGCTTGGATTACGTTGTTGGTGAGTGATTGTGACTGGGCTGCGAGTTAATATGCAAAAAATAATTCTCCAACTAGTCATTAAACAAGTTGACTAACATTCATAAATTCATCATAAATTGGTAAGATTGTAGCAATTTAGACACCTTTCATTTCGTCTCTTGCGGATCCAACTAGTACTTGGAACCTGGGGGAAAAATATTGCTCATACCACCTTTTAATTTGGTGATATAATTAATTGTGTAGGGGTTTTTTGTTGAAAAATATCCATCACAATTCTATCATTTCTCTCCTTTCTCTCTGAACTAGGTCATCTTGATCTCGTTTCCAATGGAGGTGGTCGCTGATTAAGCATCATCAGGAGTCGTCAATGGCAGTTGCTTGTGGGCATCTTAGTTCAGCATAGCTCCTGACGGTAGATTAGATTACTATGAGTGGGAGTTCATTGATGAAGATCTCAAAATCGATGATCGACGAAGGCGCTAAACGTTGGGAAAACAATCTTGTTGGGAAGGGATGGTGAAGTGCATTGGCGACAAGATAGTTCTATTTCAGTTCTCGTCTGTAGTGAACTGTCGATGGGGTTTCGAGGGTGGTGCGTGGCCTCACAGAGACAATATGATTTTTCTTGTGAAAGTGGGTTCTAGGTATCCAGTAGATCACAATTGTTAACTCTAAGATTCTAGTATTGGTTCGTCTCTCTAATCTGCCGACAGAATTTGCAAATAAAGAGGGACTTGGAGGATTCTTAGTTCAATTGGCAGACCATTATGTATGGACCTACCTGCCTGAAGCGGGAGAAAATTAGGTTATGCCAAGGTATGTATAGAGATTTTTACGGAGGCAAAGCATATTAACAAGTTGAATGTGAAGCTTAATGGTATGACTAACCTGTGGATTGCTATGGAGTACAGTAATATGCCTTGCTTTGTTCCAAATGTGTAGGTGAAGCAGCAGGTTGTGGGTAATCTGGTTGGAAAGGGGGTTGAAGAGTAGAAGTGGTAGTGTCCTCCTTGGAAGAGCCTAGTGGTTCAGGTACAACCTATGAGAATCATGTGCAGTTGCTTGCTCGGGTAATTATCCCCCACCCCCAACTGAAAGTTTGGTGTTGGTGATGCAATCAAAAGCTAGCTTTTAGATAGAAGCGAAATGATGGATAAAAGCGAAAGCTTTTACATATACTGTAAATTATATTAAAAAGTCTAACTATAGCATGTATTCTGCAGAATATAAACAAATAAGCGAGTTAGATCATATTCAATAGATCATTCTCGCACACAAATTAAATGATAGGCTCTTAAACTAGAATAAATCTAAGTCGCAAGTCCCAACAATAAATTCTTAATCATAGAATTTTTCAAGGTTGTTGATGACACTGGAGCTATAGTATATAAAGGAAAATGCAACACATGCGGCAGATATTTGATGCAAAGTCAAGGAGTAGCACATCAACATTGTGACACCATGTTAAGAGATGTGAGAAACATTTTCCTGATTCAAATTCTAGTGATGATGAATACCATGTGGATGGACTTGATACTTGTCACAGTTGTGGCCACAATAAGGTAACACGGGAAGCCTATCGTGATAAGTTAGTTGTAACAATGGTTTCTCACGACTATGTTTAGATGTGATGAGCATAAGGGGACTAGAGATCTGCATCGTTATCTGAATAGTAAGGTTAAACCAAATTCAAGAAACGCACATAAATCTGATATAATGAAGATGCATGAAAAAATGAAAGAGGAGATGAAAGTTAATTTTGCACGGTATTTCTAGTCGTATTTGTTTGACTATTGATATGCGTACATCTTTGACAAGCAGAGACGTTATATTCTTATGACTCATTATATTGATGAGAAATGGAAGTTTAATAGCAAGCATTTTGAGTTTTTGTCATCTTCCTCCTGCACATTCAGCTTTTAGGGTGAAATCTACAATTTATCGTCTGCTTAAGGAGTGAGGTATTGATAACGAGATATCCTCTATCACTTTGGATAATGCTAGCAATATGAATAACATGCAAAATGAGTTGTATGATTAGTTGAATGGATAGAATGGGTTAGTCAGTTCTGGTAAATACTTTCATATACATTGTTGTGGGCATATATTGAATCTTATTATTCAAGATGGATTGAAAGTGATAAGAGATGACATCAAATATGTTAGAGATTCTATCAAAGATGTAGAAGGTTTTGAAGGAAGGAAGATTAATTTGAAAAGTAGGTCATATTTGACTTTTATTAATAATTAATTCAGACTAAAAAGTACTAACATTATCATACACTAGTCAATAACTTAAATTAAAGTTTGGAGTGTCAATAATTTGATATTGAGGACTGCTGGTACTACTGCCGCCTGGTGCATTGGTCGTTGTTGCAGCTGAAATGGACCATGTCGGGTCTTGTACGACTTCCTCTAGGGAAAGCCACCAGCCGGTGCTGTGAAACTAGGAGGCTTGGTGTTGTTGTTGTTGCTGCCACCCTAGGAGAGATGGGGATGCTGGCGCCACCCCTCATTATAAGTACTGTTGTAGGGATCGAGGCCCCGAGCATTGGCAATAAAGTCCAACTGCTCCTGTGGGGTGGTGGAGTCCAGCATGGCCTGATAGTCTCCCACCAAATGGTTTGAGCTTTTGCACCAATGACATTGGGATACTGGAGGCGCTGTCATGCCTCTACCCGGTATGAGGCTGTTAGGCTGCTTCAATGTCTAAACCAGCTCTGCCACTTCTCGTTCAAGCCCCGAGCTTGTCTCCACGACATGCACACCTCCGTCCCTCGAACTACTGCTTCGTGTGATCTACCCCCAAGAATGGTCCCGAGCGGCCAAAATATGGATCATCTGGTTCAACAATGGCAGAGTCTTGGTGAGAATGTTTCCACCCATGCACAAAGACTCGATCAACCATTGACTCTCTAGGTACAAAGCACTATAGAAGTTCCCCACAATGAATGCATCACTAAAACCATGGTGGAGACACTTCCAGAACAATCCAAAATATCGTTCCCAAGCGTCTCTCAAGGACTCATCATCTTCCTGGCGAAAATGGGCGATCTCATGCTGAATCTCTAAAGTCTTCGAGGCTGGATAGTATTGGTGCACGGATTTGTTAGCTAGATCATCCCAGGAAGTGTTGGACAGTGTTGGTTGAGTTTCTAGCCACCTCTTTTTGTGCCCCGCCAGTGAGTGGGGGAAAAGGTGAAGGCGGATTGTATCATCTGGAACACCATTCAGCTTGAAACCGTTGGTCAGCTGCAAGAACAAAGAAAGGTGTACTCTCGCCTCTTCATCCTTGAGCCCATGAAACTGGATGGAGGATGTAATCAACTAGATCCAACAAGGCTTGATCTCAAAGTTGTTAGCAGGTATGGGCGGATACTGGATGACTGAGCGGATATCAGCAAGCCGTGGAGTGTAGAAGTACTCCATCCGGCGTAGTTGACTGTTGGTGGGAAGCTTTTACCTGTAGATTGCCATTGTTAGGCAGAACCTGATTCACCGAGGGTAGGGATGGGAAACCTAACCGGGATTTAGGGTACCCACCCGAAACCGAGTCGGTCAACTCGGGCAAAAACCGCATTAACCGGGTGACGGGTCGGGGATGGGGAAACCCGAATATTGCTATGTACGGTGACGGATCAGCGACGGATTCATCACTATCCGCCCCGATCGCCAATCCGTACCCGCCCCGATCGCCCAAATCTCTAGTCCCATACTCCCAATATAGGCAGATTAGCAATCATCGATCCAATTAAGTTAAGAGCCATGCGAGATGGCGAGTGAGACTCCTAGATTCTCCAAAGGTCCTTGATTTTTGACGATTCTTCCTTCCAATTCATCTTCGAGTAGTGATCCGGCGACTTAGAGAAGCAAAAATCTCTCCCACGATTGACTTAATCCCCAAAATCAGTTCGTAATTTCATGGGGTCTGCATTCTCTACCCCGAATGCTCAATTCTTTCCCTAATCATGATGTAAGCCTTCAATCCCAGCATGTATAAATATGACATGGCCACCATAGCTGCCAATACGTTCACCCATTGTCGCCCTCCGATTTTCGGTTCTCTATCCCTGATCTTGCTCCCATTTACAGAATAAATCATAAATCGGCGGACTGCAATCAGCAGTAGCCAGCAGCGCCAAAGTGAAAACATCAAGCAGTCGAGGTGGGTTTGTTATTATTTTGATTTTCTTTGGTTTTGCAATTTGTACCTGTAATTTTATACTCGAGCTGCAGTGTTGTACCCCTATACGAGTTATCATAATGAAGGCTTTGTATGTCTTTGTAGTGGCAAAGGGTAAGCATCGAGGAGACAAAGACTTGAGGTGGCCAAGTGGGTTTGTTAATCTTACACTGCATATTTTTGGTCTTTTAATTTCATAATCATATACCAAAGTTGTGGGAGTTTATCATAATAGATGGTTTGTGTGTTTGCGTGCAGTGGGAAAGGGAAAACAGTAGCACTGAAAATACGAGGTGGTCAGTTGGGTTTTTTCATTTCAAATTTTCATTGCAGTGTTTTGTGGTTCTGTACTTTTGTTACTTGTGTAGGAGTTATCTTAATATATGTTTTTTGTCTATGGTATATGGTTCTGTAATTCAGTTACTTGTGTAGGAGTTATCTTAATGTATGTTTTTTGTGTCTGGTATATAGGTGATTCTACAAGTGTTCAATTGGAGCCATGTCTGATGTACCACCTTCAATTCAAGGTCCCCAACCACAAGTTCCTGTTGCACCTGCTGTCGTGAATGGGAATGGCGGTGGAGAGGCTGTAGTTGTTGCTACTCAACCTCATAATGGAGAAGCAGCTCCGGCTCCTCAACCTCCGAATGCCCCACTTATCATTGATGAGGAGGTAATTGACAGAGCCAAACTTAAGAGTTTGGTTTGGAAACATTTCAAAAAGATTAAGGTGAATAATCCGTGGAAGGCTAAGTGTAACTACTGTGGGAAATTATTAGGAGGGGATTCTAGTAATGGCACATCTCATTTGAAAAATCATACCTCCAGTTGTTTCCATAGGAAGATTCATGAAGGCAGTCAAAAGATTTTAGGGCCTAACTATTTGGCGAAAGGGAGAAAGGACTTACTTGCTTATGCTTTTGATGCTAATTCTTCTAAAAAAGAACTTGCAGTAGCTATCATAATGCATGAATACCCCTTTCCATGGTTGATCATCTCTATTTCAAGAGGTTTGTGTGCTCTCTTCAACCCATGTTTAGTGTTCCTAGTAGGAACACTATGAAAAAGGAGGTCTTTTGTGTTTAGAGAGTGAGAGGAAAAAAATTCAGAAGGTAATTGATGAGAACAAAGGAAGGATTGCTATTACAACCGATATGTGGACTGCAAGTAACCAAAAGAAAGGTTATATGGCTGTAATAGCGCATTATATTGACAATTCCTGGAGTTTGAGGAGTCATATGCTCAGGTAAATCAGTTCATTCTAACTTAATGCTTAAAACTCAACCTTTGGCAACTAATAGAATTCTGAATTTCTGATCTTGTTTTCTTTTCTTTTGTTTGTTTATTTTTTGGACAAGTTCATCTATGTTCCTGCTCCTCATTCTAGTGATAGACTTGCATCTGTCTTGGTCAATTGCATGCTCGATTGGAATATCGACTCAAAGGTATCCACTATCACCTTGGATAATTGCAGTACAAATGATGCAATGATAGCCAAAATAAAGAAAAAACTGGTTTTATCATATCTGTTGAGGGAGGGTGCACTTCTTCATATGCGTTGTTCAGCTCATATATTGAATTTGATAGTCAAGGATGGGTTAGAGGTTGTAAAAGAGGGTATTGAAAGGATCAGGGATAGTGTCTCTTATTGGTTGGCCACACCCAAGAGACTTGAATTTTTTCAAGAGACTAGTAAACAATTGCGTGTTCCATGTGAGAAAAGACTAGGTTTGGACTGCCCTACAAGAGGGAATTCTACATTTTTTATGCTTGCAGTTACTATTCCTTACAAAGACGTGTTTAATAGGCTTAAACAGCGTGACCATCAGTATGATTGCTTGCCTTCCAATGATGACTAGTTGTTTGCTTCGATTGTGTGTGAGAAGCTCCAGTGTTTTACTCAAGTTTCTAATATGTTTTCGGGGTCCAAATATCCAGCAGCAAACTTGTTTTTTCCTCGTATTTGTGATTTGAGGATTAAAATATGTGAATGGATGTTTGATCTCAACAACAATGTTCAACGTATGGCTGAACAATGTGGGCAAAGTTCAACAAATTTGGGAAGTGATCCAGCAGATTTTGGCAGTAGCTGTTGTCTTAGACCCAAGATATAAACTTGATATTGTGGAGTATTATGCTGAAAAGTTGGGTCTAGATTGTAGTTCATCACTGAGTGCTACAGAAATAAGAAGCATTTTGGGAGATTTGGTGGTTGAATACCGATCAAGAGTGAATGGTAACAATCAATCTGCTATGGGGAATGATCTGCCTGCAATGTCTAGTACTACAGATAAGGGTTTTGATTTGTTTGTTAGTCAAAGGAAAAAGTCTAGGAATTCATCGGTTACGGCTGAGTTGGATGCCTATTTGAATGAGGAAATCTTGCCTCGTACACCTGATTTTGATATACTTATGTGGCGGAAGATCATTGTTGCTGCTGTCGATTTCATTTTGTTGTTGCTGGGTGTCTTTCTTTTGCTACTGAGTTGAGAGGAAGGTTGCAAACTGTTGCTGCCTTGCTGGCTGTCATTTTTCTGCTGCTGAAGAGTGCAGACTGGTGTTGGCGTTCCGTTGTTGCTGAAGACTGGAGCTGGGTTGCTGTTGTTGCACTGCTGAAGGATGATACTGCTGATGAAGAGGGAAGTAACGAGCTGTAGAAGACTGTTGCTGCTGAAGGATAATGATGCTGGTGTTCTTTTGTTTGCATTTGATTTGCTTTTGTTTACCAACTTAGTCGTGATTGGGATTGGATGTTAGTTTGGATTGAAATCACACTTTGCTTTTGAGTTACTCCCGTTCAGCAGCTTGTCTGCGGATTGGGATTGAATGTTAGTTGAATTGAATATTTGGATTTGCTATGCTATGCTTTCAAAGTAGTTTATTTTCATCTCTAACACCTTCTGCAATATTTTCTTCCAAGTGACCACAGGATTTATTAAAATATTCCAGTATTCATTTAGAGTTTAAATGGAATGTTAATTCTTGTTGTTGTTTCATTGCTTGCTAATTCGGTTTATTCATCTTATTTGGATTGGATGCTAATCCAAAGTTGTTTCCTATTAAACTCTAGTCTCAGTTCTCTAGTTTTCATAATAATACCACTGCTGCCACTTTCATTTTGTTATTTGGTTGAAGTCAAACTATAGTTGCTGACCGGGTATGTTATATTTCGGGTTTACCCGGAACCCGGGGATGGGCGGGTGGCGGTGCATTTTTCCTCCCCGACGGTCGGCAGTGCGGTTGGTATTGTCAACCCGTGGAGGACTAACGGGCGGGGTACCCTGTGGGGAAACCACCCCCGATCCGCCCCGTTGCCAACCATAACTAAGGGAATCTGGAGAGGCATCCCCATATGAGGTTTCCCCTGGTCAAGAGGTGGATTATGCCCCAGGTTCAGGTTGTTCATCCTGTTAAGCTCGTCTCTCATATTATCTTCCTACGCGGAGTCGCTGCTGATCCGGCCGTTGACTTGCTCTTCCTCCGTAACCAGTCTATTCTTCGAGGCTCTCCGGATGTGGCGAAGAGTGCGCTCAAGCTTGTTGTCAAGGGAAACAAGTTCTTTGCCGGACTGGCTACGGGTCATGTACTACCTGCACACAAGCTACAAGAAAACCCGTGAAGGCAAAAGGGGGAAAGAAATAAAAGAAAACAATACGGAAAAGAAATGCTAAAGTAACAAAAATCACATTTCTTCAACAACCTAGCTGTCCCCGCAACGACGCTAAAAACTTGACTCGCCAATACCGTCACACTAGAAAGTGGCCAAGTGTAACCACAAACTAATGCATAGTATAGCGGGTTTAGTTTTACTTGTCAACCCGGGTCCTAGATGTGATGACTACTTCGTGAAGTTCTCGTTATCTAGCAGTTTGAATGTAGTGAAGTTATAGCTAATCTAAGAAAACACAAAGCAGTAAGGTTGTGATTCAAGTTAAGAAGGCTCACTCAGGTATGAGTCACCCTAGATCGCAGTTAGGCTAAGTTGTACTTCACCTAAACCAAGTTGATTGATGTTTAAATCGCGGAAAGTTCTCAAATAGTCTGGAGTCTCGGCTAAAGTGCTCCAGACCCTCTTAGTTTGAATACCCGGCAGGCGACTAACCTCCACCGGCGTAAGCTAACCGAAACAATAAGATCAAACTTCCTCTACTGGGTTCTAAACCAATATAGAGTAGTGAATCGACTTCCCAACTAAAGTCGCCAATTCACTACCTCCAATTCGAAATGCTCTATTGACTTATGTAGATATTATCTTTCTAGGTCAAAGCAGAAATCACTAGAATTTGATCAAGACTCAAGCAATTCTTAATAAGTACTTCAACTGGATATAAATCAATCAATCATTCATGGCAAAGGGTTCATACAACTCATCCTAACATACAATCTATGGTTGTTACACACCAAAGAGATAGAGGGGATTACTCCATAGAGAGAGAGTGGAAAGCTATGTCGGATGTGGAAATCATAGTGTAGATGGAAGAAATCTGTACCGGGTCGTCACTTGATCTAGGGCACTCAAGGATCTCTCTTCGTCACTTTCTCTCTCTAAACCTCTATTTTTAGCTCCAAAGTTTGAATCCATGTCAAAACCCGCGTTTGGCACTAAACAACCCGAATCGAACCCTCGGCCTGATTACCCAGTCGAGTAATTTTATGACAGGCCGCATTTCTTCTAAAATGGCGCGCAACAGGTAAGAGGTGAAGCCGAATTCCCTGGTCGAGGATTAAGGGGTCACGACGGGGGGAAAACCCTGGGCGCCTTCCCTGGTCTCCTATTGCGATTCTCCGATCAAGTATTTGATGGTACGATTGGGGAATTCAGTCCTTGAGCTCCTTCTTTTGTCCACTTGGTGCTTTTGACTTGAAACTCGCCTCCAAGCATGCACATCCGATCCAAGACCTGAAATATGCCATAAAAGAATAACCTAGAGTGAAATCGACTTAAAACACGAGAATCGAACCTCAAACAGTGTAAGAATGGTGGGCAACAACATGTGCAAATATCGAGTTATCAATGATGATTTTGTAGTTCTAGTGTTTGAAGTCTTTGTAGTTGGTATTCACTAATTAGATGAAGATGTTTGATTATTTTTAATTTTATCTGCGGAATTTGGATTATGAATTCATGATGGATATGTAATGATGTTATTTCTTATCATTAGTATTTTGTGTTCATAATGTAGAAGTATGGTTAAATTGTTTTACAAGTTGTTATGATTAAATAACACTTGTTAAATGACATTTGTTAAACTTAATTGGATGATGATTTGGATCGTATATTAGTCGTTATTAGTTAACCGCCAAACTAACCGCTAACCAAACCGATAAGAGATGGTTAACTGATAAGGTTTATCTGTTCAGTTATCGATATGAGTTTTTGCTTATTGGTTAACCGCTAACCGCCATATCAGTTAGGGGTTAACCAACACTGAATCGATTAGCACCCTTAGCAGCAACAACTCGCCGTCCCGACCTGAACCATTACCATCAAGTTGTCAAGTGACACTCATTTGTTTGGTGCTCCACTCGAATCCTTTAGCGGGTTTAACTTCTGTCCAACCTAGCTAGTTTAGTGGTTGTTGCGATGGTCACGACTCACAACCACACTTTTAGGACCATAACTATCTCAATGTCATGTAACTAGCTAGGTACCTAGGGCATTAGGTTTAGACTCTCAATTAGGGTTAACACCTGTGCAAATGGAACTTTGACTCGATGGTCAAGCTATCTAAGTCCCACAATGCTTGATTTGAGTTCTAGACCTAACTTAGGAGATGGTCACCTCAATCTAGGTCAAGAACAATTCAATAGCTACCTTTACTGAAGCAATCAATTGACAAGATTAAACATTTAAAAAACATGGATAGATAGTAACCAGGGCTAGGCTTACATTCAATCAACAAAACCCAGCTATATACTAGAATTCATCTCCCCTAAACAACCATAGGGGTTCAAGTCATAGAGAGGAAAGGAAATACTAACTAGGAAGAAGAAATAATCTTGAAACCATCTCCTTCTCCTTGGATTGTACCCTTCTCATTGGTTCTTGGATGAGTTCTTCCTTCCTTAGGTCCTCCAAGAAGTTTTATCTCACAAAAGACAACCCAAAACCATATTTTTCACTATAGGGTGGCTCTTGTTCGTCAAGTGCGAAAAAGTATATATAGTGTTTCTGGTGCACATCACGACCGTAGGGTGTGATCTGAGGGTTGTTCACTATTTCCAGGCAGTTACTCTTAATGGAACAATGAGTATAAGGTATGTCACGACCACTTCAAGATCGTGACCTAGGCCGTGACCATGAGTCTCACTATCTTAAAAGTTCTCAATGAGGTTAATTGTATCTTTATATATAAAAATCCTACCTGACGAGTGGAATAAAGAAAGCTTTCATAACAAATAAAGTGGGGGGTAAGTTTGTCAACGTGTGAGACAATCACTTATTGCACATGAGAGAATAGGAAATGTTCAATTGAGCATCAGTTCGACACCATACAATGTTGCTTATCCAGTACAATCCCCCATCGAGTGAAGTGCCATTTGAGGATTGTGCTTATAGGGCACAAATAAATGTTTGACACCCCTCTATAACTTTGACAATGGATAGAGAATACGGAGTTAAATGAAGCCCTTATGTCGGTGCTAACACATAGAAATTGATCTTGCTTGATTACAGTAAAAATGTACGGAGTTACAAAGAACAACTCCACTTGTGATAAAACAATGCAAAATTCGACATGAAACTCTAAAGAGAGAATAATAACTCTCATTGTCAAACAAAGGTAGAGATGTGTTTAAAAGTAAACCAATGTTTGTGAAAAGCTTCACCCTGTACGTGTTTTAGACTCTCAAGCTTAGTTAATTGCTCATGTTGGGTGGAGGTTGGCCGGATTGTCCTTACAAGATATGTAACTCAGTGACAAGGTTTAGTTCTCTAACTACGCGGATTGACGTTGTAAGCTAGTTAAGATCTACTAGCTACGATCGAAAGTTATGTGTCATCATAGTGAGATGTATGATTTTGAGTTTGATTTGCTTGGGGAAAAGAAAAGTTCAAGTGTGGAGTTATTTGACGATAGTAAATCATAGGGTAATGTCTATTTTTTATCCAAACCTATTTCAAATTCTTTTATATTATCCAAACCTATCAAAATACTAAGAATTATCCAAATATTGACTTTCAATTAGCAGTTTTGTTAGTAATATTGACTTGGCAACATGCTACTGACTTGGAAGAGACACATGAAGGTCAACATTCCAAAATTTTAGTATTTTAACTAAGAAAAAAGTTATAAAATTATTAACAATAACGTCAAAAAGGCTAATATTTTGATGCATTACAAAAGATTTGGCTAATTAATAGCATTTTAATAGGATCGGATAATATAAAATGATCTTAAAAAGGTGTGGATAAAAATAGACATTACCCTAAATTATACTAATTAGACTATATTTTATGGCATGTTTCACATTGTTTTCATATATTTATTGTCATAATAGGTTGGAATTGCTTGATTATTTCTCTAGTGGGTGTTTAGTACTAGGGCTACTTTTACTGTTTTGATGCCCTTTGGATAGTATTTTATGTGTTTATATGCCAAACTATCTTTGCGGACCACCTTGTACGAGTGGGAGATATCAAGGCCCAACTGCTAGAAGTAAAAAAAAAAAAACAAATGAAGATTGGAGCCCAAGCCCAAAATGACATAAGATTTAGTCGACCATAGCTCAAAATGGCATGCGTTCGCTATTTCTTAGAGGACCCAGGTCAAACCATTATTGTGTGAATGTCCTTAACTTGGTGGCTTCGTTTGAGATATGCTAGAGAGATAGAGCAAGAAGACTTTCACTTGTACTTTTATATCTTAGAAGATCCGATGGAAGAAGCTATAAATAGACCTTCCTAGCCAACATTCGAGGAACAAGTCATACAAGGGAGTTACCATACCAACAGAGCAACTCACAAGTCCAAAAGCGATGACTAGGCTCGAGGGTAGAATGACAGCACAAATGGTGCCCTAGGCGCCATTTTAGTGTTATTGCTGCCATTTTTAGCGTCTTTGAGAATGCCATCTTTAGACTGATGTTATCCTTAGATTTTGTCCCCATGAGTTGCTAGTTTGTTAGTTGTATAAATTTGTGAACCATAGAGGTTATTTAGACGATGTAAAGTTTGATTCTTGATTATATATATCGTGTTTATTTGAACCCTCCTTATTATGTTTATTGCATTAAGAATTTTATTGTACACATGAATATAGCACACCGAATGCAATACACGTGTGGTCGCAACCTTTTTGCTACGTGACATATGCAAACTGTATTGTTGGAAACCCACGTGTCTTTCTAGCATGGAACCCATGAGAGAACCTCAGTAGGAACATAGCAATCAAAATCGAGATTTTATCTAATATCGAAAATGTGGGTAAAATCGAATTGTAAAATTGTTGGATTTTAAGGTCCATATAACATTGACAAAATAATAATAATAATAATAATAATAATAAATCACGAATAACACAAAAACACATTACACTTGCAATGATAATTTCTCAAGGTTAATGTTCCAATTTATCAAAGTTAATGTTGGAAAATGGTGAATCGATGATGATTAATATGCTGATGTGAATTGATGATGATCGATGGTGGTTAGCATGAGAGAAATATATTATGTTGGTGGAGGAGAAGGAAAAGAGACGTAATTTTGAAAATTTTGGGGAAAATAAGTAAAATGATCAAAAGATTTGAGTCGTAAAATTGTAAGATTTTCAAGATTTTAAGGATTTAAATAATGAATAGTGTATGATTTTAAGGTCGATAGATTTTATAGTGAAATCAGGATTGGAACATGTAAGTAAATCATAAAATCATCGAATTTTAGGATTTAAATTGGTATTTTGACGGCTTTGAGTAGGAAGATGACAACATATAGAATCATGGTGAGTGGAGAAATCTGTTGTGGATTCCCTCAACCACGTATGTACATGCCAGTTTTCTTATCGAAGTGACACTAAGGAAACTTGACGAGGAGCATGGATATGCAACACTTTTCCTTCTACTTTCCCCTCGTCCAGTAGTTAGATTCATTTTGTTTCCCTTTGTGTTCATATACAAAATAATATGGAATCTTAACCTTGGAGACACATCAATCTCCATGATTTGTTTTAAAACCCCAAAGTAGGTTCTACCTAACTGAGTAAGAAAACGTGAGACTAAGGAATGACGATCCTGATTACCTACCAGATAAATTCGACCCCCCTGTTCTACATCTGATCATGTGTTGTAATGCAATTTAGAGAGGAGGATCTGTGGAATCTAGAGTCCATCAATTATCGTACTAACCTTATTTTAGAACCATAGGGTCAACCTTGTTTTAACACTCCCCCCACTATGGGATTGAGAGGTACTTTTCGTCGCCTTAAAGAATAATGTTAATAGATGAGTATGAGGTACTTAGCAGTCAAAAGGTGAACTTGGGAAAGTCTGTTGTCTGTTTTAGTGCTAACATCCTAATTGAGGAGAGGGTGGCGATGGCTTCCAACTTTCAAGTTGGGTGTAGGGCGGTTGGGGTACACGATAAGTATCTCGGCTTACCATCTCTGATAGCCAGATCAAAGTCTGATACTTTTAGGTTTTTAGAGGAAAGGCTCCTCCAGAGGCTATAGAGCTGGAAGCAACGCCATTTCTCCTGGGAGACAAAAGAAACTCTCCTTAAGGCAGCGGCAACAACTTTACTGATACATGCTATGGCTTGTTTTAAGATACCAGTTACTTTGTGTAGGCTTCTGGATAAGCACATGGCTAGAATCTGGTGAGGGTTTGTGGTTGGGAGGCTAGAGAGTCATTAGATGCCTAGAAAAGGCTTCGCCGTTTCAAGCACGAGGGGGTTGGGGTTTCCGAAGATTGTTGTTCAATCCGGGTCTTCTCGTGAAGGCGGCTTGGTGTATTCATTCGATTCCGAGTCGTTACTAGTGCAGATTTAGAGGGGTAAGTATTTCCCAAATGGCTTTATTTTTACGGCCACTGCCCGATCAAAACCTTCATGGGGGTTGGCAGGGTGTGGTGTGCTTCATGGATGTCAACTTCTAAGACAACGAATGGTGCGACAGGCTGGATTCCATCAGTTATGCTTGGGGCTCCATTAATGGGAGATGAAATGGTGGCAAAGTTGATTGATTCCAAAAGAGGAGTGTGTGGAGTTCTTACAATCAATGTTTTGTCCGACTATAGTGAGAGCCATCTTGGCCATTGCTTTCTCGTGTATATCAATGTTGGATCAACTAATTTGGCGCGAGGACACGTAAGGGTTTATACAGTGAAGTCTGGCTACAAGCTTGCTGAACGGTTGTCCCATTTAGTGGGTAGATGGAAATTGGAATCTTGATCGGTGGATTGATAACTCTAGATTAAGGTTTGGAACATGTCGATTCAACCAAAGCTTAAGTTCTTTGTGTGGGAACTTCTGCAGAGGCTTTTGTCGATGATGGAGGCTTTGCGTGATATAAAAGTGTCTGTCCTTGCCCGATGCCCAGTATGTTGGGCAGAGGAAGAGAGTACATAACATCTATTTTTGCATTGCCCAGTGGCAAGAGTCTTGTGGGAGTCTGTCGAATTTTTAGCTGAGGTAGATATGTTGTCTTGGAGTGCTTTCATATTTTTTTTTCAAAGATTCCTAGAGCGGGACTCCTCCATGTCTCGTGTGGTGCGGTTATTATCCTCATATAGAGGGTTTGGAAGGCGAGAAACCAGGTGGTTTTTTAGGGCAAATAGGTAATCCCTCGCATTTTGAGGCAACATTTCATGTTTCAAGTGGAGGAATGGTTGCAGGTCCCAGTGAGGACAGGGGTAGTAGAGACTGTTGGAAATGGTCTTTCGGGGGCAGGAAACTAGGTTGATGACAAAGATCCGAAAATGGGTGTGGTGTGCTCCTTTGACGGAGTAGTGTGTGTAGGATCCCATGGGGTGGGTGGTCTAGTTTTGCGGGTGGTGTCTGAAGATATAGTTGCTTCTAGTGGGATGACATACAATGGTCTTCAAAAGACAATGCTAGTAGAGCTTTCGGCGCGACGCGATGGAGTCAAGTGGTGCCAGCTTCAGGGTGGAGTTTGTACGAATTGAAGGTGATGCGAAAACCATCATTGAGAAGGTGAAGGCTAGATCAATCCAGGATGCGGTTGGTGGTGCTCTTCTTGAAGAAATCCAACAGCTTCTTTCAGCTACTCTAGAATTCCGGCTTCAGTTTGTGGGTAGACAGTACAATACGGCAGGCCATATGGTGGCTAGAAAGACCTTGTCTTTGTTTCCTACGGGTTGTAATAATTTGATTTCCGATTGTGGGTGTGGTCGGAAAATGAGATGGTTGAACTTTGTGTTCTTGTTAATGCAAGCAATCTTTTCGTTGAAAATAAAGAGTTTGCTTTGGAATATGTTATAGTTGGGTCTATTTAGAAAGAGTATTGTAATACTCGTAGGTTTTTAGAGAGAAACCTTGAAATCAAGTAGTTTATTGACATAAATTAGATAAAAATTGAGTTGCTTGGATGTAAGTGAAGAGGGATCTCCCTATCGGCTTGCAACAACTTTCATTAGGGGCGCTAATCAGTTTCAGTTAGTAGTTAATCATTAAGTAAAAAAATACTTACCGATAGTCAAACCACTTATCCTTTGTGGTAGTAACTATCAGTTACCAATTAGCTTACCAAGTAACAATTAAACCAATAACAGACTCCACATATTACATGTAACATATTTTTTGTTTCCTTGTTAACAATAAAGTATAATCATACAAAATAGAAATTTAACCACCATCCTACATTGCCAACATAAAATAATAATCATAAAAAATAACACAAATAAAATACATCATCCATCGTGAAATTCATAATTAATCCGAATTCCAACACATAAAATTAAAACAATAAAACATCATCATCATCTCTTAGCATGTATCAACTAGCCATATATAAAAAACAAGCACCACAAAATCATCATCATCATCCACGCCTATAAAAGAAACAAAGACTACTAGGAAATGAGGTTTTGCAAAGGAAAGCTAGAGAGAGGGGTGACTTCCGAGTTCTGACTAATTGAGATGCTTGAGACTCTAGGTGGAGGGTCGTTTCTAATAAGTAAGTGTTGAGATATTAGACATTGTAACTTTGGTTGGTCTGAAATCTTAAGATTTTTCCCCTCAGTGAAAATCCAAACCGGCGGTCAATTATCAATTAGCTTAATAGTTAACTACTAATCAAAATCAGCTTATCGATAACTAAATCATTAAAAAATTATAGGTTAACCATTAATGGTTATTATTGATTTGCTTATTGATTGTAACCGATAACCGACCAACTGTTTACCAACGATCTTTGACATGATTTCAATTACAATGGACTTATGGTACTTTTCAAAAGCCTCTACTAGCTGTCAATTTCTTTGGCACTAATTTTGAATACCATATAATTTTTTGATTTTCTAGAATATATGTTATTTCTTTTCATCTATCCGCCAATTCCAGTCCAACCATCCCATTGTTTTATTTTGTAATAAATTATAATCCGCTCCTAATTAGTTGTAGGGTGTGTAATGGGTTGGTTCTTATTGGACCGTACCAATGAAATCGACGTTTGAATTGAGTCACACCGATCCGAATATAATGTGGTATAGTTTTTAATCTTATAAATTCTATAATTACTGAAAAATGGACCAAATTGATATTTGGATTGAACCAAATTAGACTTAACAGTAGCTGTTGAGCACCCTAAATTTAGTAGTCATCAATTAAATTCTTTCCAAAGTAGTTTTTTACCCTAATGAACTAATGATATATATAATCAAATCGTTCACCCAGGGAAAAAAAAAAAGAGAAGAAAAAAGCTGGGAGACAAAGAGAGTCGCAGCCCAAAACCAAAACCAAACCAAAGGGACAGTAGTAGTCTTTCTGAAACGCCAAACTCACACCTCTCCTCCACACCATCAGCATTCACCACCACGATTGCTATTGGGATTTCGCTACGCTGCGCTGCGCTGCTCTCTCTCTCTTTCCCTCTCTGAACTCAAAGCTGCGGATGTATAGGCATCGATCGCCTCTCTCTTTCCTGCCTCAGGTACTCTCCTTCCTTCTCCTTCTCTTCGTGTCTAAGCTTTGCGGCAGTGATCTGTTAGGTCATTTTTTTCTTGCTCTTCTTTCTGATTCAGTTTACTACGGTGTAATCATCTCCGTGTATTCCCCGATTGCTGTGATTGTGGTCTGTGTAGGGTTTTCTGTTTTTTTTTTTTGTTGCTCTTAGGGGTTGTATGCTTTGGCTGAAACGGTGCCCTTTGTTGTTCTTCTTGTTCTTGTGTTGCAGCAGCAGTAGTCGGAAGTAGAGAGAAAAGTCGGATATGGCAGCGGTAAGATCGAGCTTACCGTCTAGGTTGAGGCAGCTTCTTTCCGGAGAAAGCCTAATCGGTCCTTCCATTAAACTTGACTCCGACCCTGTGAGTTTGCTATTCACTTCTGCTCCTTTTTGAACTCTTTTGTCTCCCCGTTTAGAATCTTTAGTGTTTGGTCTCTCGCCCCTCTCTATGCTGTTCGATTTCTATGTGTTTGTTCTTATTTCAGAACTCAGGGGTGTGGTTCAGCACCGTTTGGCGAACTATTAGGGGTTTTCTTTGAACTTCTCGTGTTATGGGAAGTCCTTCACCCTAGGAATGGATGTTTAAAACCTGTATGTGTTTGATTATTGACGTTTTAAACGAAATTTGAAACTAGAATGCAGCCAGTTAACTCGTGTAGTGGCTCTCTAGAAATATTGCTGCTACATAATGCTAAATTACGTTCTTGATATAGACGGCTTATCTGTGTTGCAAGCTTTCAGTCTGTTAGGTCAAAATGGCAAAATGCTAAAGGGCTTTAATCGTTCTTGATTCATGTTCCTTATGGAAGAAGGGGAGGGACTTCTCTTTTTGGAAGTTGCTATAGTGTAATATATTTGGATAAGTCAAGAGCCCTGAAATTCTCCTTCCGTAGGACTACAATAGTTGAGGCAACTTGATTTTCCCCCATTTATTCTGTTGGGTTATATTTTGCTGGATCCGAGCTGATAACTTAAGTTGCCGTTTCTCTACAATGTGCCTACTTTAGTAATAGATTAAGATGTAAAGGTATCATATTTGTTGTTTGTTACCAGAGAATATTTTCTGTAGAGCGACCGTGAAGCAATTTGGTTAAGCTGTGGTGTTTAAACTCTTGGCATGAGGAGTTTTGTTCATTCAATTCTAATTGGTTTCCCGCAATTCATTCTGATTCTTTGTTTCTGCTGGTCTAATAATCCTTAGAGTTGATAGATGCTTCCGTGAAGAATGTCATACTAAGTCTAAAATAGTTTTACCCTCGGTCATAATTTGGTTTGGCACTGTGGGTTTGGCCGCTATTATTGTGTGTTTAACACTTCTTTTATATATGTTAGTTCATAAATTTGCCAATCGATGTATAAGTGCTACCTACTAGATGGTGTTGGTATTTTATATGAGATTGATCTGCGAGTTTCTAGCATGGATTTGACAGATTGTGATTGCATTGGGTGCCTTTTTTCTGTTTTCAATGTCCTTGTTTCTGCCATAAAAGGTCTACCTTTGAATTTTCTTGCAGCCCCCAGGAATTAAAGCATTCATAGAAAAGGTCATTCAGAGTCCATTGCAAGACATTGCCATACCACTCTCTGGATTCCGTTGGGAGTACAGTAAGGTGAAAAACATAACTGTTGTGATTGTATAGTATTTCATCTTCTTCTCCTTGAGATTGAGGATATTTTTTGGGTTCTATTTCAGGGAAATTTTCATCACTGGAGGCCTCTCTTCTTGCATTTTGATACATACTTCAAGACTTGCTTGTCCAGTAGGAATGACCTCCTCCTGTCAGATAATATCTCAGAAAATGATAGTGTGTTTCCGAAGCAAGAAGTTCTGAAGATTTTATGGGTCATGCAAATAATTTTGGAGAATTGTCAGAACAAGAGTTCATTTGATGGTTTGGAGGTAAGTTCCTGTTGCAGCGAATGGTTGCTTCACATGGTTTCTGTTGTGTTGTCTTTCTAATTTGTTTCTCTTTCCCCTTCAGCATTTCAAGCTTCTATTGGCATCAACGGATCCTGACATTCTCATAGCTTCTTTGGAAACACTCTCGGCCCTTGTGAAAATCAACCCCTCCAAGCTGCATGGGGGTGGTAAGTTGGTTGGATGTGGCGCTGTAAATAGCTATCTGTTGTCCCTAGCTCAGGGTTGGGGGAGCAAGGAAGAGGGCTTAGGTCTGTATTCATGTGTTATGGCAAATGAGAAAACTCAAGAGGAGGGACTCTCTTTGTTCCCATCTGATATAGAAAATGATGGTCAAAAGTCTCAGTGCCGAATAGGGTCCACTCTTTATTTTGAGTTGTATGGCCTTAGTGCTCAGAGGATGGTCGAGGGTAGTACTGATGCAATCTCTTCTAGTTCACAAGTCATACATCTGCCAGATTTGCATTTGAGAAAGGAAGATGATCTTTTGCTGTTGAAGCAATGCATTGAGCAATACAATGTTCCTTCTGATCTTCGATTCTCCTTGTTGACCAGAATCAGATATGCTCGGGCTTTTCGGTCTCCTAGGATATGTAGGATGTACTGCAGGATTTCCCTCCTTGCGTTTATCGTCCTTGTGCAGTCAAGTGATGCTAATGATGAACTGACATCCTTTTTCGCAAATGAGCCGGAGTATACTAATGAGCTGATTAGGATTGTGCGGTCTGAGGAAAGTATTCCTGGAAGCATCAGAACGCTTGCAATGCAAGCCTTGGGGGCACAATTAGCTGCTTATTCAGCTTCTCATGAGAGAGCTCGGGTTCTAAGCGGGTCTAGCATCAGCTTTGCTGTAAACAACCGGATGATTCTTCTGAGTGTGCTTCAGAAAGCCGTCCTTTCTCTGAACAACTCAAGTGATCAGTCTTCTCTCTCCTTTATCGAAGCACTTCTTCAGTTCTATCTGCTCCATATAGTTTCTTCTTCAGCTTCAGGAAGCAATGTACGTGGGTCTGGAATGGTTCTTACATTTTTGCCTCTTTTGAAGGATTCATATCCCGCTCATATGCACCTTGTTTATTTGGCCGTCAAAGCGCTACAGAAGTTAATGGACTACAGTAGTTCAGCTGTTAATCTGCTGAGGGACGAAGGAGGCGTGCAGCTTTTGGCCCAAAGGCTGCAGATAGAAGTGCATAGAATCACGGATTCTGCTGTGGAGAATGACAATTCAATGATTATTGGTGAATGCTCTAGGGCTACTGATGATCTCGTATATACCCAGAAAAGGCTTGTTAAAGTCCTCCTGAAGGCTCTTGGGTCTGCTACTTATTCCCCTTCAAACAATTCTAGATCCATTAATTCGCATGACAGTACTTTGCCTTCGTCATTATCAATGATATATCAGAACTCAGATAAATTTGGAGGGGACATTTACTACTCTGCAGTTACTGTTATGAGTGAACTCATCCACAAAGATCCAACCTGTTTCTCGGCATTGCATGAAATGGGTCTCCCTGATGCATTTTTATCTTCAGTGGTAGCTGGAGTACTTCCTTCGTCTAAGGCTCTTACATGCATCCCTAACGGTCTCGGTGCTATATGTCTTAATGCAAAAGGCTTAGAAGCAGTTAGAGAAACTTCAGCTTTGCGGTTCCTAGTTGACATCTGTACCAGCAAAAAGTATGTGCTAGCAATGAACGATGCTATTGTTCCTTTGGCTAATGCAGTGGAGGAGCTTCTGAGACATGTTTCTTCACT